GCATGCAGTCAGTCAGTCACACAGCAGCCCAAAATCGACCGAGATTGGCCGAGCCGATGAGACTTGACTGACGAGACTGATGTGCTTTGCGGAGAAGCAGGCTGTCGGAGAGGCTTCAGCGCACCTCGCTATGAATGATGGACGGTGACTACCACTCCATGCACACCTCTTGCGGACTCTCCGTCTGGCGTGACTCGATCGAACGCTCCCGATGCACACAGTTGCCCGTTTTGATCCCACAACAGGAGCAACACTCACACTGCGAGAGGTTGCAGTCACAAGCGAGAGGCGATCTCAGCCGGCTTCTTCCGAGCTCGCGTGACTCGTGACGGGATCGTGTTCGACCAGCGAACGTGATTCACAACATTCCCATGATCAAGACTTGGTCTATACTCGGCTTCGGACCGGGCGCAGCATGCTTGGGATCAATCATCACCTACCCACGCTGATGAGTCCCTCGTGATCATGGCGAACGCCGTGTGAGGATTCTTATGGCAGCACCGCGACGTAGAATGCTGTCACGGTCGCTTCGATCGCCATTCGACTCACGCATGCGAAAGGAAGTCCAGGGGGGGCCAAAGCCTAGCGAATTGAAACATTTCTTGCGAACGAATGGCAACCGCTCCAGTTGGCTGTTTGGCCAGCTAGGCGAAGTTCTCTTGATTCGATTGCGATTGTGCTCGATTTGGTGCAAAGCCCTCGCCAAGCTCACGAAAGCATCAAGGCGACGAATCTAGACAATACATGGGTGTTGTCCATCGAATTGCTTCTTCATCACAGCCAAGAGATAGCTGGGCGATTCACGGTCCTAGTCCAGCCTCGGTCTGGGGCGGAGCCAGGTTGAAGGTTCGGAGTGGCAATCAAGATGAAAATTGCCACCAGTCTGATGAGGGTGTTAGCCTCCCATGAAAGGTTTGTGCAAGATTGATTGAGCGGTTTGGCTGTCAGCTTGGTATGGAAGGAGCAACGCGAGACACGTGACATGGCTTGGCCGCCACACTCGACGAGTCTCGAGTCAAAGTCATAGTAAATAAGTTTGAGTCAGTGCAATCAAAATCAGGGGATGCAAGTGACGGTGATGGTGAAGTCGTCGTGAGTTCACTGAACCTAGGACGGCGGACTGGCTGCACAGAGCAGCAGTCGCTGAGCAACTCTAGATCGTTTGGACACTCTCTCTTCGCTCGGTGCGTGCGGCTTGGATGCAAGATTGATGTGCTTCCTGAGGCAAATCGTACGTCAGTAGGAAACAAGCGTCAGTCGATACATACAAAACACTCATGGTTTCAACTTCTTGCTCAATCGTGAATGGTCTGTTTGGCTTGGTGGTGCATGCAATGATGGTTGCTCAATCACGTGAATCTCCATGGGTGGCGGGCATCAGGGACGCGGCCGCATGCACGTGTGCCTTGTGCCATCTGAGATTTTGATTAACCCACCGAGTGAGTCAGTCAGTCGCCCAAGTTGAATCGACTGCGCAGAGGAGGCTCAAATTCAAGCTCTCAATTAAGGCACAGCGGCAGCCCCTCATCAGACTCAAACCGCAACTGCGCCCCGCCGTTGCCACACTGATGCAGGAATGGAGCAGAGCAGCCTGCATTCAAAGATTCTTCACGTAAATTGGCCCCACGGGTCCATGTCGTGCGGACTGCAAAACACATGACAACACAGATGTGGTGCCTGTAATGCACGATGACTGCGGGATTAAGCGCTGCGCGTGCGCTGCCATATGAGATGCAGGAGTCCGAAGACGTGTCTCGGGCTGGGGTCAGCATTCACATTCGTGATTAATTGATCAAATGCTGCATTCACGCTTAACTTGACGTAGAGGGAGAATCTGGGTTCAAAACACAAAAGTTAATTGCCATGTTTGGAAATCTCGGATTAATATTCTTGTTTGATCGTTCGTTTGGCTTGAGCGCGCGCATGTGCGCGGCCTATAGCTGCGTGCGGGTGCTCGCAGCTCAGCTGCGCGCGTGCGATATCAGCATCCATGCAGCATGCATCCATCCATCAAATTTCGTGAATACAGTGGCGCGCGCTACGGCTGGTCACACCCACCCTTATGCTCACCACCATCCCGACAATCCCTTCAAAAACCACAGTCTGCGGCCGATATCGCTCCGCAATCGTTTTTTGAAGGCAGTCAACTCGCTCTTTCGCTTGCTCTCGTGCTCATCTCTTCGTCCTCATTGGATCTAGCGTGCCTCGCCGTCGCCTTTTTCGACCTCGAACACAGGTCGAAGCAGACGGATACTCGAGGTCGATTCGATCAGCGAAGAGTCTTCACGAGCCCAGAAGAACGTTGACTTCAACATCAACATCATCTCGACGTCTTGATACAAGACACCACACGCCACGACGCAGAGATACGTGCCAGCTTCGCTCTGGTCGAATTTGTACTTCAACTACTCCTTGAGTGGGGCATCTGCTGCGGAACTCAAAACAAAGTTTCGCGCATCAACCGACCGCGTGCCACTGGACACAGCAGCGGACGTTTAGGGCTCGCTTCGAAGGAACCTTCCGTGAGTGTCGGTAGACGTTACGGCAGGACGAGGTGGATGTGGGTAGGAGATCGCGAGAGATGTCAGACTTGAGACTGCGGGGCCAGGCGCATCTTGCGCGCAGAGAAATCCGCGCGCCCGCGCTGCGCGAGCCACCGCAATATCGCAACGCGCGTTTATGCTGTTGAGAGGTCAAATTTGGGCAGAGAACCTGGGCGACATTCAGTATGGTGGTACATCGGACATCGGAGAACAAGCACATATCAAGTACGGACTCAAAATCGCTCGTTGGAAGCATCGTCGACGGTGGTGAAATGCGCACTCTGGTCGCGGTCATGACGCGCGGTGGTGAATTTGCTTACGTGCATGGCGCGGTGCGGCGGTGGTGCATTGCGCGCGCGCGCCCTTGGCTTCATCAGGTCCATGCGCCAGTATGAGTCAAGATGTGGTGGTCTCTATCGTTGCCAGGACTGCGAGCTCGTCGTCGTCGTCGTCATTCGGTCGCTTACTTTGTCTTTTAATCATCATCACTAGATTTGTTAAGGTCGCATCCATCCCGTCGAGTCCGTCTGTCTGCTTCCGCAGTCGCTGGAAAACTTCGACAACCCTCTTGAATTGCTTCTCGCCTTTTGAATCTTGGTCCCTAGGGCTCTTTTCACCGTACATTCGGTCGGCCATCCTCCACCGATCTACAATCCTGCGCTAATCTCATAGGTGTCCGACTTCGCTACACCACTTCAAGCGTTCGATCCTACTAGATCACAATTCTTTTCATTCGCAACTGCGACTTACTTGGTATCCATCTACTTGATCTCGCCCTTACTCGTGTCTGCTCATCACCTTCGCAAGCCAACATGGAGAACTTTGACTTCGGATCTTTCATCAATTCGCCCGTCGCCGTGGGCGAAGACGCACGACCCTGGGGAGACGGCAGCACCGCCAACGGTCCTCCAGCTGCTGAGAACTTGCAGCGCTCCACAAGCTTCAACGCAGGAATTCAAGGGGCTCAGGTGACTGCAGCGGCCATGTTTGCTTCGCCTTCGCAGCGTACGCCTCTGCACAGATCCTCCACCGACTTCGGTGATTTCGCTTCAAACGCCTTCGCTCAAAACAATGCGCCACCATGGACCGAATCCGTGCACGGAATTCAGCCTTTCGTCAATCACGACGCTAATTTTGAGGGTCCGACCTTTGGCAGCCAGGACGTCAACTATAGCCGTCATATTCCTTCTGGTCCTTCGATGGAGGCTACCGTCCCCGCGCCACTCGCAGCTGCTGTGGCCTCAAGCCAGCGCGACCCTGCGACGGCCATGAACGAGGTAGCGCCTCTGCCCACAGACTATCGATCTAGCATCGCCGCACATCACTCTTCTCAGCTCAAGCAGTGGTTCCCTGCTTTGCTCCAGACGTCTCAGACAAGCCTCGGTGGCCCTGGCCGCACAGCATTTGGCATGCATAGCTCCCCAAGCGTGCCTCTCAGCCAAGCGATGCGCATGACGGCACCTTCACAGAGGCACGCGACAGGTCAAGGTAAAGCCGAACGTCCCAGTCTGACCATTCAGGAGCGCCGTCGCCTCTCGAGACGTCGCTCCGCTGCGGCTTCGAAGTCTTCCAGCGGCTCGACTTCGAGCGCATCTGCCAGCAGCTACGCCGCCAAGCGCGATGCTGAGAAGCGTCTCGGTCCACACGAGAGTCTTCATCGTGAAGCCGCGCAAGCTACAGCACGCTCCATGTCGCAATTGATGCAACCTTCGTTGTCCCAGCCGCAGTCGCCGTCGCCAAACGGGATGGCATTGGAACCATCGCCGCCGAGTTCCAACTCCGACCCAGTATTCACGGGCGACTTCGGTGATGTGATCGAGAACAAGCGTACGCAATCAAATTTGTACGCTTCAACCGGCTTTGATCTGATCGGTGCGCTCACCCGCATCGCCAACCGTCCCAACCCGAAGATCACGATCGGGCCCATCGACCTTTCTTGCTCTTTCACCGTATCGGACGCCAATATGCCAGATCAGCCCATCCTATACTGCTCAGACTCGTTTCTGCATCTGACCGGCTATGAGCGCGCAGAAGTCTTGGGTCGCAATTGTCGTTTCCTTCAAGCCCCGGGCGGCATGGTGGAAGCAGGATCAGAGCGTCAACACACCGACGGTCGCGCTGCACGCCATCTCAAGAGGCGATGCCAGAATTTTCAAGAGTGCCAGGCCACACTCATCAACTATCGCAAGAATGGGCATCCGTTCATCAATCTCGTCACCATCGTCCCCCTCAGCTGGGGCGACGTGGGGCCCGATGGCGAGCCCCCACCAACCTACTTGATTGGCTTTCAGGTCGACCTCGTCGAGTCACCTGGCGCTGTCGTCGAACGCAAGGCCGACGGAACTTACCACATGAATTATGCGAACGGTGACCGTCAAGATCCAACTCGCTCCCAGCCACTGGACGACCATACCGCTTTGCACACGCATGCCGCCGAGACCCTGGCTGCTGCTGCTGCTAGCGCCGTCGCACAGCAAGATCCAGCAGTGGTCAAGGCGAATCAACAAAGGATGATGGCAAAGGACCTTGCCGAGATCATCAGCAGCGGCAGCGTGGACACATCGCAATGGGCTACATTATTACTCGAAAACTCGCACGATCTCATTCACGTCTTGTCGCTCAAGGGCACTTTCTTGTACGTATCGCCCTCGGTCGAGCGGATCCTTGGATTCAAGCCCGAAGAGCTGGTCGGCAAGAGCATTAGCGAGTTCTGTCATCCGTCGGATGTAGTGCCCGTCTTCCGCGAGCTCAAGGACTCCACAAGCAACGCAAGCATTGCTGCTGCTGCTCGTCATTCCGCCCGCACTGATGGGACAGTCAACCCTCTGACTAAAGGAGGAGCAGGACAAGTCGGTCCCTCGGTCAACTTGATGATGCGCATGAGGCACAAAACCCTAGGCCACACTTGGATAGAAAGCGCCGGCAAGCTTCATCTAGAGCAAGGCAAGGGTCGCAAAGTTGTTATCTCCTCTGGTCGTACGCGCCCAGTGTACGACCTACCATGGGAGATGGCCCGCAGCAGCCTCGATCCCCCTGGCCACGATTCGCCCGGCGTCTGGTCAAAAGTTTCGAAGAGTGGCCTCTTCTTGACAACAAACGGAGCAATTTCCAACCTTCTAGGTCAGCAAGCCGAGGACACGCAGCTCACCGGGCGTCATATTCGAAGATTCACCAACCCGGAGGCTCACTCGGCTATTCTCACAGCTCTGCAGAGCTCCGATGGCGGCGTTGTCTCGCACGCGATGAATGATGGCCATTCGAGCCCACAGGTCGACGTTTTGTCCACATTCTACCCTTCGACTCAAGATTCTGAGGTAGCGGAGCAGCAGCCTGCCGTTTTCGTGCACACTCAACGGCTCAACGGTAGAATGCCTTCGCTAGTACCCAACCACCTTTTCTCACTTGCAGGTGTGGAGTCTCGCGCGCACATCGCTCCGTTCGACAAGCATTCGAGCTCCGAGCAAGACACCGTTTCAACCCTGAAACCCGGCGAACCCAGAGCAGGCAGCGTGTTTGCCGAGCTGTCCACTTACAGAAGCTCATCGTGGGTCTTTGAGCTCCACCAGCTCAAGAATGCCAACAAGAAGCTCCGCGAGGAGTTGCGACACCGTCGTCGTGATAGTCGCGCCCAGCCAACGGGCATGACCCCGTCGCATCGCTCGTCTGCAGGAGACTCGCTTCAACGTCCACCGCTGAACGTCAATCCAGTCTTCAAATCGCAGCGCGCGGTAGAGGGTGGCAAGGAGTCCTCTGGTAGTGGCGGCGAGACCAGCAGCAGTAGTGCTGTGCAGTCCAGCAACGATAGTCTGCTCCCATCAACCTCGTCGAGCGAAGAGACGGTGGCAACGAGCGGCGTCAGCGCTGGCGAAGAAGTCAATCCATCGGTCTCGGGCATCAAGAGAAAGTTCTAAGCTAGAATTATGCCCATGACACATGCTCAACATTGCGGTCCTACATTTGGGGTATCTTGAGTCACCTTCTATACTTTTTCCACGCGTTCTGTCCCTCCCTGCCGCCGCCCCTTCCCCGCCACCCGTCCTTTCTTTGCATCTACGGAAGCTCGGTATGACCGATCCCCTTTGCACGGCTTCCTTCAGACTTTTCCGTCTTGACTTTTGGGATTCGGTTCAGTTCGAAGGCTCCTTTGTAACATCACTCGCTCCATGGTTTGATTCTATGCGCATTGAAATCGCGTTTCCGCTTCCATGGACCTCGATCTAATTCATTGATCGCCTTGCATGAAGTGTTTGCTCGCTCGAACTCCGGACGCTATGTCGAATCATCTGAACCAGGTTCGAGCGCGTCAAGGTACTCTTGGATGATGTCGGCGTGTGCGAGCGAAGACACTTCCTTTTCGACCCAGTCCAAGCACCGCAAGAAGCAATCAACTTGGCCCATGGTGTAGTCTCGAGCCAACAACGCGACTGGCAGCCTCAATTCTGGCGAGGCGCTGAAAGCGGTCAGCTCGCTCGAGTCGTTCTGAGCTTGATGCGCCCTTGACATGGTGAGTCCAGTCGTGCGCGAAATTCTCTTGCACTGCTTTAGCAACCTCTGGCACCTATGCTCCAGAAGCGTCTTGACGAAATGCAGAGCGTGTCCATGGACAAGGATGCTGTGCGCTTCTTGCTCTGCTGCGACGCCGAGCTGAGCTTGGAGGCGCTGCGACAAACGTTGCAGAGAGGTCTGAGCATGAGCATGAGCATGAGCATGAGCTCGAGCGAGTTCGTAAGAACACTGCGTTTGCACCTCTGCCAGCAAGGATTCGGGAGCTGCTTGACCATCCCAGTAGTGCGTCTTGCCTGACAGCGCTGGCCGAGTGCTGCTTTCGCCATCAATACTAGACAGGGCTTCTGTGTCTGCTGCGACTAGCCGGAGCGAGACTGCATGATACTCGCTCACGAAACCGTACGATGCCAAAAATTCCTGCATGCCAGAATGTGCAAAGCGAGGTGGACAAGGTGTTAGATGGATGCGATGCTCGTCTTCGGCGCACGAACGGTGTAGGAGGCAAAAGGGGGGGCAAGTGCAAGGCGTGGGAAGAAGGACAAAGAAATAAAAACTCACTTCGCTGCTCTTGTAGCCGTAATTGTTGAAGATTTCCGAGCCCGCTTCGACGGTTGCGTGAAGGACTAGCTCGACGTAGGCGTCGTCTGGCGGCCGTCTAAAGGCCCATCCTTGGCCGTCATGAGAAAGTTCAGCAAGCTTAGCGTGTTCAGGGCGCATATCTGTATCATTTCCAGCGCGTGGAGAACGCTGTGGGTGTGCTTCGTCAGACAAAGACGAATCAAGAGCATCGCCGTCTTGCGCGACGCTTTGCCTACCCGCAATCCACGTCACTGGTACTTTGGGCCGATGATTGAGAAGATCCAAGACGGGAATGAGCACAGGAGCATCCTCGTCTTCCTCCTGCCCAATCTTGTCGGGGAAGCTCAAGAGTCTGGGAGGAAAAGCTCGACTGGTGTAACAAGCATCGGACCATCTCCATCGATTCAGCAGGCAGCCCGACTCCTCAAAATCGGTGCCGACGGTCCATTCGAAACCGAGGTCGTGCAGAGCTGCTGAAGCTCGCGCGGCCAAAGTGCGGTACTTCTCCAGGCACCGAAGCGCGTGGGATTCGATGGGACTGTGGTGGAAGAGGTGCAGCTCGGTAAGGGTGTGGAACGTCGGCAGAAGGAATTGTGAAGGAAGTGCACGGATGTAAGGATCGTGATCGCTGGAAGGCCATTTTTGCCTCTCGATCCTCTTCTGCGCGGGTCTGGAAGTGTG